CTCTCTATCTCTCCCTCTCCCTCCCTCTCTCTCTATCCCTCTGTCTCTCTCTCTCTCTCTCTCTCTCTCTCTCTCTCTTTCTTTCTTTCTTTCTCTGTCTTTTACTCTCTATCTCTCACACATCTCTCTTTTTCTGCCTCTCTCTCCCTCTCCCTCCCTCTCTCTCTATCCCTCTGTCTCTCTCTCTCTCTCTCTCTCTCTCTCTCTCTCTCTCTCTTTCTTTCTTTCTTTCTCTGTCTTTTACTCTCTATCTCTCACACATCTCTCTTTTTCTGCCTCTCTCCCTCCTACCATACCTCTCTCCTTCCTGAACCGACTGTAGTCTTAGCGATACATACTAGTCGTTGGAATGTGCTGGTTCTCATTGGGTAGTTTGGTCAACATTGTGCCGTCGATGCTGGTCGGGTTGATGCACTCCTCATTATTAAACGTTATGTACCACCGTGCACAGGATCCATAGCTTGTCCCTGTGTGTATCAGTCGTATATTGCCATGCCAGATGACATACAGTGCTGTGTGTGAGCTAATCTTGTTGAACTTGCATGTCTGTTTTGAAAAATTTCACCATATAAGTCCATATCTCGTCACAGTGATCAGGTCGTTACAAAATTTACATTTTTTGAAAATAATCTAATGGGTAGAAATACGGTTGAGTTGTGTTGTGAGTTTGTGGCGTAGGAATTTTAGCGCGCTTCTTAACGCTTCTTATCGCACTTACACTGATGAGTCCACTATCTATGTCAAGGTTAAGGTCCCACCACGCACACTGCTTGATGTTCCTGGCAGGACATGAGCATATAGCTGGCGCATCTATAGTGATGTAAGATTAGTCAAAGTGTAGCAAATGTGCAAGTAAAGACAATATGTAGCCTGTCAGATCAAAACATGCCGTAGGACTCAATTCGGACATTATGAGTTAGTAGTTTTATCAGAAAGACCATTCAATTCTGGTTATTTTGACACCAAGATCTTCTTCATAGGTCACATGGTTCGGAAGTTATGAGCATTTGAGTAGTTGGAATCAGGCTGATTTTGGAAAACAAAGTTCAGAGTAATTAGGTCATAAAGTTCAAGTTTGTTTTCATTTGGCCTTCATTTGGACAAAAATCTGAAAAAATATCTTTCCATTGAGCTAGGACACATGAATTTTTGCATGACGTACCAGACATAATAACCATCCACTGTATGTAAGTACGAAAATGGTAGCTTACCAAATGGTAAATAATTCAGGTAATTAATTAGGGTAATTAAAACATCAATAATAAACACATAAAATAACATTAATAAACACATAAAGACACACTTTTGGCCAGTTTTATTGATGTAACATCGAACATGGATAACTACTAAAGGTATTTATGACAAAAAAATCGGCTTTTTACTACTTTTAGGTGAAAAATCACCTATCAGAATGAACATTGAAGTCCTACGGCATGTTTTGATCTGACAGGCTACATATATGTACGCGAGGTAGCTGAAAGAAACAATATATAGTTGTATTATTTTATTTTTATTGCCAAGATCTTGGACACATATGATATTCCTGCAACATGAGTTATTTTGATTATATGATTATGTAGTTATATACATAGTTTGATTATATTAGAAAACAACCAAACTATAATAAATTACTCGTTCCAAATTGAAATTAGAGCAATTGATGTGATTAGGCAATGGAAAATGCATTTCGAATTACTGTTTCATGCAGCAGTAAACGTTTCGCATTCGCTTTACTATTGTTAATTTACTTGTTAAATTGCTTTACGTACCACTGTCTCCTATTTCTCCCTTGGCTCCAGAATTGCCCTCTCTTCCATCCCGGCCTGGAAGCCCATCCCTGCCAACCTGGCCATCTCTGCCAGGCAATCCTGGTGGACCCTGTGCACACTGCCAGCAATTTTTTTTAAAACGGGTCTCTTTCAACTGCTGCGTAGATTACTATACAGCCTACCGTGAGACTAAGCCATAAATCTGCCGTAGTAGAATAATAGGAACGGAAATATTTATGCACAGTATTTATGGATTAAAGATTATGTGAGGGATTTGTGGGGTTTTGAACCACAGTCTTTTTCTCTCATGCATGCAACAGGTTGACAAACTTTATGTGAACCCAAACTATGCTGGTACTGGTTGGTTGCCACTCTATAACATTATAACTTATTACCCGTAATGCGTGAAGTAATTATTAAGCTGTAAGTGGAGATCTCTGCCAGCATCATTTAATCACATGCTCATGCTGTTCATGGAGCATCATGCTTCATTTAATCACATATCAGTCTCGAATCATAATAAATCCGGGAATCATTGATTCCGAGATCATAAATGATGGTCAGAGCACGGGAACAGTGCCCATACTATACAGTCAGCCCAACAATGGCTACCTAGTTTCCAATACCTACCATTGAAAGGCTAGTAGTTGCAAATAAAATATTTGCATGCGTCACAAGCCTGTCTTTGCAAGTATTCAATTATATAAATTTGTTTAATCAGCATTTTATTTTCTTATTTCTGGCCTAAGATCACTACCCCTATCGTTATCGTAATCCTATACATGAATAGATTAGTTATGGGAATTTACTATAGGTACTGGTTTAGAGTTGTGAATTCCGACGATGTAAAAAAATCTTCGAAGTTCATCTAGCACTTTTTTTCACTTATCATAGCACAGGAATATCACATTTCCACTTGTCACTCCTGTCACAATAAGTACCGATAATTGTTATAGAGTGCTGGTGAGCCATTCTTGTGTGGTCACCTAATTTTACATTAATTTCTTTAATTAAATTTGATATCTTTATTAGTATATAGTCACACTGTGGCTACTGTGAGCATTATCAAGAGCGAATAATAATCAGAGCTAATAATAATCAAGAGCTAATAATACTAATAAAGGTATTATTAGCTCTTGGCATTATGTATATACTCAAGTATATATATATGTGTACGTTTATGTTGCTAATGATGGATGCTCTACTTACCTGTTCAGCTGTGTGCGCAACAGGCTCACAAGACGTGATAACCACATACAGAATGATGAAAAAACAAGCAGCATTTAGTAGATTCATGTTTGATGCAATGTGCTGGTACGAGTGTGCACCAAATGTGCTGTCCCATTTTCCTTCGCCAATACTCATATCTCGCATTTAGCGGATATGACTCCACCTAAGTGAGTAGTGTTTGGTGTAGATATGCCATGGGTGTTAGGGCAGGAAAGCGGAAGTATACGGATAGGAGTTTTTTGCGGTGTGGTTGATATTTCAACCAGTCAATCATATTTCATCATATATTATTATTTTTAGCTCATCTGACGAAGTCAGATGCAGCTTGTAGAATCGCACAGGCCATTCTATCATATGTCATACACGGCCATTCTATCATACGTCATACACGGCCATTCTATCATACGTCATACACGGCCATTCTATCATACGTCCTATACTGTCATTCCATTATCTGTCCAACACTGCCGTTCTGTTATTCGTCCCACACTGTTGTTCCATCATCCGTTCCGCACTGCCATTGCATTGCTCCTCTCCTGCCGTTGCATCCATGCTCCAATGCCGTTCTATCCATTGTATACTGCCATTCAAGCACTATTGATGTCATCCTCAGTCAAATTGTTGTTTACAGTTGCCAGTCAAATCCATCAATATGCTGTAATCCTATATTGTGTACTCCACTTCTGCTGTACTACTTACATACCCTTGAAATGGTTAGTCGTGTATACTGTTATTAGATAACAATAACTAATATAGTAAGTATTGTAAACTAATATAATATAATTAATTAGCAATAGTCTGTCTGTGACTGTGAGTACCTGATGTCACATGCAATTGTGTTACAGGCTTGTGGAGTTCTATGTGGAGAGGAATGAGCTGACAGTGCAGCTACAAGAGGTTCAAGCCAAACTAGACACATGTGATAAGCAAGACATGCCCATCATTATGGAGCAGATCAACACTGTTAGAGGTACGTACCACTCTTATGACTGATTCTGACTTGCCTTCTATCCATCCCTTATGTTCAAACTCTACTGCAACTTCACCACTAAATTATTTATTTCTTTTCCTAGTGCTGCCATAATAGCTTTTCTATGTATTGGTGGAAGAATCTGGTCTTTCCATATGTAAAAACTCTAGTTTCTCTCAATTTTCGTTACCAACATGCACAAATACGTATCAATATAAGTGGAAGCAATGTGATTATAACTCGCCATGTCTACATTTCAGGCAAGCTTGATAAACTTGGAAATGAGCAAGGAGAGATCAAGCAGCTTCTAAGCACTGCACAGGTGACGCTAGCGCCCCCTCCTGCCCAGGAGGTGCAGTGGGAAGAACAGGATGTCATCTGCATACAAGCAGACCTACAGACCATGTCTAAGTATGTCCTCACAAACATAGACACATTAAAATATACACGCATGCATGCACGCACGCACGCAGGCACACACGCACGCACACACGCACGCATGCATTACTTTGGCAATGTGTCTTCATGCGTAATTATTGTTGCATTCTGTGTATGATGTTATTAATCCAAATATCGTCATATTGTAGTTGTTTGTTAGTTAGCTATTAGGCAGCACGTTTTGTTACTTCTAGACCAAACATTCTATTAGAAACTTATTTCCAGCTGCTGACGTAAAAGTGTCCTGTCTTTTTTTCAGAACGGCAGATTCCATTCAGCAACACATTCAAGATAGGGAGCTGCAGCTAGCTGAAACCGCTGCCAAGTGGGAACAATTGCAGGGACTACGAACTGAATTGCTTCCCAGGTTGCAGGAACTCGAGCAGCGACTGGTGGAGGCGGCTCCCACTCATCCAATCCGGGACGAGTTCCAAAAGTGTCTATGGACCAGCGAGGTTCGTATCATGGTGGCTCTATCTGATTAACGTGTAGATAGAAACGGTGACGGAAAACAGTGTACCTTTGAATTCCAAGCACGTTTAAGAGCTTGAACAGCATTACGAATACATCAGTCATGAGAGTCTTTGTGGCTTTGTTCGGGCAGGTTGTGCAGTCCAGCCTGATATCGAGAGAAGAAGACTTTGACAAGCTAAAGGAGGCAGCACAGGAAGTAGAAGCTGCGAACCCAGACAAGACGTCAGAAGTGCGTCGGGTTGTGGAGGAGATTGAGACTCTGTGGACCCAGGTTGAGACGACCAGCCATCGCACCGTGGATACGGTCACGTCCATGATCGAAAATTGGAAGGTACGCTAAAACAGAGGTGACGCAGACTAAAATCCCAAGTTATTTGTAATTGGATGTTAGCATTTTTCCTAAATTTTTAACAAATAGGTTTCCGCAAAAAATTGTTTAAACAACAATTTACAAGTGAAATTCTAAGGAGATATAATGCTTATGAACGAGAGAAACTATGGGTTCAAATTGTCGACTTATAGCAGATAAAATTGGTTAGTCAGAACCAAAATCATTCTCTCTTCAACGTTTTACAGACGTTTGAAGAAATCTGTACAAGAATGGCTGAAGGTTTGCATTCCGTGGAAGTGGATCTCAACAAGGAGAGACCACTGACCAATCAGGACAGCTTATCGACTTACATAGAGGAACTAATGGTATGGCTCTCTCTTAAACCAACATAATTGATCATATTGGCAAAGCGTATAAGATACTGTAATTAACTCCTTGTAGACCTGCACATAAGAGTCATTCAAAGCAAATTCCAAATGTGTCCTTTGCATAAAAATGTACATTTTATAGATGCAGTTTTTCCTCTATAACTCAAACTCAAGGGAACTGCCAAAAGTGTTCTTCATATGATAGGTGTCTGTTATGTAGATGTGATATAGGTTTTACTACATTTTGTATTAACAATCACGTAGTTTATTAGTGTGATATTTAATTTTACTCCGTTACGCATATTAACATTGAATACATGATGACATGGTTATGATTTTACTGTTACAGGAAACTGCAGCAATCCTGCAGGTATTGGAACCAGAGATTGCAGACATGAAAACCAGGGGGCACCACGTGTCTGAGCGAAGGACAGCAGTACCACTGTTGGACGCAGGCACGGCAGAGGAAGTGTACACAACCCTAAAGGAGACTTACGCAGACTGCAGTCGTCGCTGGAAGGAAGACCAGCAGCAGTTGAACGAAATAAACGATTCTCTCGGTATGTGGAGTAGTGTGTTGCTTACTACCAGCAGTTCACTAAGTAATAATAATACATTTGTTTGCATTTTTAGCTCATCTGCAGGGGCGTAGCCAGGATTTTCAAAGTTCTAGGCACGACTATCTGAGCGGAGCGCCACCATCGGTTGGCGCGGAGCGTACAAGAAAATTGTTGGTTTTACAAACCCCCCAGATGGCCGGAAACGGCCCTTCCCGAGTGTTCATTCTGGTTCCCTGGCCTCTTGCTAACTTGAGACACCTCATTCAATATCACTTTTAACCAAAACACAAACGAGTTAAAATTAGTGTTACGAATCGAGTTTAAAATGTTAAAAAAAACTGACAAGAATCGGATCCTCAGTCTTTTTCGGCGGGTGAGTGTTGAATGAAACGGCACGCGATAGAAATGACAGCCTAGATGACAGAAGAGATAGTCGTCACCTAATTTAGCCATATTCTGGCTAGCGTTCATTTTCAATAGTTTTTCCTGCCTAGACTCTTAAACTCGTCCAGCAAGCTTATGGATTTGAATTATGGGTGTTTTAAAAAAAACATAAACTTGGCAAAAAAAGTGTAGGCCCGGGCCTACAGTGCTACATACTGGCTACGCCCCTGATCTGACGTAGTCAGGTGCAGCTTGTAGAATCGCATGATTGTCCATCCGTCCGGCCGTCCGTGGCGTCCGTCCTTCCGTGCCGTCGCCGTCCGGTCAACAGTTGGGCACAAATCATAACCGCTTCGACGTACGGTCACGATATTCGGGACGTGGGGGGTGAATCCGAAACGAGTTGGGGTGTCGAAGCTGAGGGTCAAAGGTCAAGAGGTGTAAAAGAAGGGGGAACATTCCTCCTTAACTTAAGGTATAGGGAGGAAATGCAGAATTGCGGCACAAATCTAAACAGTCTTGACCTAGGCTTGTGATAGTCGCGTGTACAGCATCATGGTAGGAAAAGCCATCACTGTGCCGAAATTAGAGTTCACAGGTCAAAGGTCAATGGGCACAGGGCAGATTTTGGACATTTCTGAGGACATGGTCTGATGGAGCGATTGAAAAACTTTTTTGTTTCAGCGGGGACCTAGCATTTTTATGGCTTTATTGAAAGGACCATGAAATGTAATTTCTGCTGACATGCGAAGAGTAAGTGTCGGATAAACCTTTTGACCCTCAAGAGGCGCGGTTAAACATGGATGTCTTTACTGTTAGAAAGAATTTGACTGGCCGGTTTGCTAGTAGAATCTATACATGCCTGGATGTATGAGGCTACAATGTCACAGTGAAATTTCAAAAGCTAAATTTGGTTGAAGAAGGTTTATGCTCCTTAAATCGTTTAATTTCATATGGCATTCTGTACTGTCAGTGTGTTACATGTAACGTATGCCACTGCCAGTGGCCACTGCCAGTGCATGTGGTGGTGGTACTGTGTAGTTTTTGCCTGCGTTAATTAGTTACAGGTGGCAGCTCTCTATTTCAGCCTGTAGGCTTGCGTAGGTAAATGGATGAGTGCTTACCTATTCTGTCTTGCAAAATAGTTGTTGCCACTACGTACGATGGGAGCTTCCATTTTTAATCTGAAGACACTTAAACGTACGCGCCATTTCGTGGCAACTTTCATAACGATCCCAACGAACATTCCTTTGAGAAGGTTCCTGATACCATCCCTGTGCCTTCCACTGTTTCGGCGTGTATGTGAAACACATTTTGGGACTAACAGGTTTACTAGAATCCCACCACTCCACCACAGAGTTACCGCAGTAGACGTTAGATGAGCACTGTCACTCTGCGGCACTTGTTCATAAAAGCTATATTGTGTATTACTGAACATTAACAGGGAATGTAAATCGCCTATTAGGTTAGAAATGTATGACTGAATAAGTGATGGATTTTGAGAAAATCAGTCAGTAAAAAACACAGTGTGTGTACAATAATCATATTCCACGCATTTGCAAGTATTGATGCGTAATAAATTCTGCATTATTGCTTTGTGCAATGCCAGTGCTGTCATACATGTTTAGTGCTAGTGAGAAAGCGCAGTAGCCAAGGAGAAATGCAGAGTTGGTGTTTTGCGAAAGCCATGCTTTTAGCAGCGTTTATAATATGCAAGGTTTATTTTAAGTACAGCTTTGTTGCTGGCATAGAAGCCAGCCTGTAAGCAACTAGCCTGTACACAGGCACTTGATAGCAGGGTGATAATAATGCTAACGTGAAAAATTGGTGTTAGCGCAAAGGCCCAGTTACTGAAACCTATATGCAGAGTTTCTTTAATAAGTGTAGTCCATCTCCTCGACAATTATGCGTGAGGTACTGTGCCAGCTGGTGTATCGATCTCCGTGGTCAGTAACACTGGGCCATGGGCGACAGTTGCCTAACTGCAGAGCTACATCTATCGTTCCTGCAGGTTGGCCCAGGCATATGCCCTGAACTGTAAAGCAGACAGGCAAAGAACGAATCATGTACTGGCTTGAATCGTGTAAATTAATTCAGAGCTTTGTGCTGATCTTGGTGTTGCATAAATGGATGCTTCCACATATTACTGCCAGTGCTCGTTCTGCTAGTTCTTAGTTGACAGAATGATGCTATGAGAGGTAGCTCTCACTCCCATTTACTCTCACACTTTGCAACTTTTTCCCACTCCTCTCTCTTCATTCCCTTTCTCCCTTTTTTGCACTCTCTTCCTTTCTCTTTCTCTCCCCCTATATCTTTTTCTCCCTCCTCTCTTTTTGTCTCTCTCTGTCTCCCCTTGTCTTTCCCACACATCTTCCTCACTCCCACATTGCCCTCTCTCTATCTCTCCCTCTCCCTCCCTCTCTCTCTATCCTTCTGTCTGTCTGTCTCTCTCTCTTTCTTTCTTTCTCTTCCTCTTCTTTTTTCTTCTCTTTCTCTGTCTTTTACTCTCTATCTCTCACACATCTCTCTTTTCTGGCCTCTCTCCTCCTACCATACCTCTCTCCTTCCTGACCCACTGTAGTCTTAGCGATACATACTAGTCGTTGGAATGTGCTGCGTTCTCATTGGGTAGTTCTGGTAAACATTGTGCCGTCGATGCTGGTCGGGTTGATGCACTCCTCATTATTAAACGTTATGTACCACCGTGCACAGGATCCATAGCTTGTCCCTGTGTGTATCAGTCGTATATTGCCATGCCAGATGACATACAGTGCTGTGTGTGAGTTAATCTTGTTGAACTTGCATGTCTGTTTTGAAAAATTTCACCAGATAAGTCCATATCTCGTCACAGTGATCAGGTCGTTAACAAACTTTACATTTTTTGAAAATAATCTAATGGGTAGAAATACGGTTGAGTTGTGTTGTGAGTTTGTGGCGTAGGAATTTTAGCACGCTTCTATACGCTTCTTATCGCACTTACACTGATGAGTCCACTATCTATGTCAAGGTTACGGTCCACCACGCACACTGCTGATGTTCCTGGCAGGACATGAGCATGTAGCTGGCGCATCTATAGTGATGTAAGATTAGTCAAAGTGTAGCAAATGTGCAAGTAAAGACAATATGTAGCCTGTCAGATCAAAACATGCCGTAGGACTCAATTCGGACATTATGAGTTAGTAGTTTTATCAGAAAGACCATTCAATTCTGGTTATTTTGACACAAAGATCTTCTTCATAGGTCCACATGGTTCGGAAGTTATGAGCATTTGAGTAGTTGGAATCAGGCTGATTTTGGAAAACAAAGTTCAGAGTAATTAGGTCATAAAGTTCAAGTTTGTTTTCATTTGGCCTTCATTTGGACAAAAATCGGAAAAAATATCTTTCCATTGAGCTAGACACATGAATTTTTGCATGACGTACCAGACATAATAACCATCCACTGTATGTAAGTACGAAAATGGTAGCTACCAAATGGTAAATAATTCAGTAATAAATTAGGGTAATTAAAACATAAATAATAAACACATAAAATAACATTAATAAACACATAAAGACACACTTTTGGCCAGTTTTATTGATGTAACATCGAACATGGATAACTACTAAAGGTATTTATGACAAAAAAAATCGGCTTTTTACTACTTTTAGGTGAAAAATCACCTATAACTCAGAATGAACATTGAAGTCCTACGGCATGTTTTGATCTGACAGGCTACATATATGTACGAGAGGTAGCTGAAAGAAACAATATATAGTTGTATTATTTTATTTTTATTGCCAAGATCTTGGACACATATGATATTCCTGCAACATGAGTTATTTTGATTATATGATTATGTAGTTATATACATAGTTTGGATTATATTAGAAAACAACCAAACTATAATAAATTACTCGTTCCAAATTGAAATTAGAGCAATTGATGTGATTAGGCAATGAAAAATGCATTTCGAATTACTGTTTCATGAGCAGTAAACGTTTCGCATTCGCTTTACTATTGTTAATTTACTTGTTAAATTTCTTTACGTACCACTGTCTCCTATTTCTCCCTGGTTCCAGAATTGCCCTCTCTTCCATCCCGGCCTGGAAGCCCATCCCTGCCAACCTGGCCATCTCTGCCAGGCAATCCTGGTGACCCTGTGCACACTGCCAGCAAATTTTTTTAAAACGGGTCTCTTTCAACTGCTGCGTAGATTACTATACAGCCTACCGTGAGACTAAGCCATAAATCTGCCGTAGTAGAATAATAGAACGGAAATATTTATGCACAGTATTTATGGATTAAAGATTATGTGAGGGATTTGTGGGGTTTGAACCACAGTCTTTTCTCTCATGCATGCAACAGGTTGACAAACTTTATGTGAACCCAAAACTATGCTGTACTGGTTGGTTGCCACTCTATAACATTATAACTTATTACCCGTAATGCGTGAAGTAATTAAGCTGTAAGTGAAATCTCTGCCAGCATCATTTAATCACATGCTCATGCTGTTCATGAGCATCATGCTCATTTAATCACATATCAGTCTCGAATCATAATAAATCCGGAATCATTGATTCCGAGATCATAAATGATGGTCAGAGCACGGGAACAGTGCCCATACTATACATCAGCCCAACAAGGGCTACCTAGTTTCCAATACTACCATTGAAAGGCTAGTAGTTGCAAATAAAATATTTGCATGCGTCACAAGCCTGTCTTTGCAAGTATTCAATGATATAAATTTGTTTAATCAGCATTTTATTTTCTTATTTCTGGCCTAAGATCACTACCCTATCGTTATCGTAATCCTATACCTGAATAGATTAGTTATGGGAATTTACTATAGGTACTGGTTTAGAGTTGTGAATTTCGACGATGTAAAAAAATCTTCGAAGTTCATCTAGCACTTTTTTCACTCATCATAGCACAGGAATATCACATTTCCACTTGTCCATCTGGCACAATGGTACCAATAATTGTTATAGAGTGCTGGTGAGCCATTCTTGTGTGGTCACCTAATTTTACATTAATTTCTTTAATTAAATTTGATATCTTTATTAGTATATAGTCACACTGTGGCTACTGTGAGCATTATCAAGAGCGAATAATAATCAGAGCTAATAATAATCAAGAGCTAATAATACTAATAAAGGTATTATTAGCTCTTGGCATTATGTATATACTCAGTATATATATAATGTGTACGTTTATGTTGCTAATGATGGCTGCTCTATACTTACCTGTTCAGCTGTGTGCGCAACAGGCTCACAAGACGTGATAACCACATACAGAATGATGAAAAAACAAGCAGCATTTAGTAGATTCATGTTTGATGCAATGTGCTGGTACGAGTGTGCACCAAATGTGCTGTCCCATTTTCCTTCGCCAATACTCATATCTCGCATTTAGCGGATATGACTCCACCTAAGTGAGTAGTGTTTGGTGTAGATATGCCATGGGTGTTAGGGCAGGAAAGCGGAAGTATACGGATAGGAGTTTTTTGGCGTGTGGTTGATATTTCAACCAGTCAATCATATTTCATCATATATTATTATTTTTAGCTCATCTGACGAAGTCAGATGCAGCTTGTAGAATCGCACAATCGTCTCCGTGCGTCAACAGTTGGGCACAAATCTTAACCGCTCGACGTACGGTCACGATATTCGGACGTCGGGGGGATCGTCAAAACGAGTTGGATGTTGAAGGCTGGGGTCAAAGGTCAAAGGTCAAGAGTGTAAAAAGAAGGGGGAACATTCCCTCCTTAACTTAAGGTATAAGGAGGAAATGCAGAATTGCGGCACAAATCTAAACGGCTCGACCTAGGCTCGTGATAGTCGGTGTATAGCATCATGGTAGGAAAAGCCATCACTGTGCCGAAATTGGATGTCACAGGTCAAAGGTCAATGGGCCACAGAGCAGATTTTAGACATTTTCTGAGAACATGGTCTGACGGAGCGATTGAAAACCTTTTTGTTTCAGCGTGACCTAGCATTTTTATGGCTTTATTTAAAGGACCATGAAGTACCTTCTGCTGACATGCGAAGAGTAAGTGTCGGATAACCTTTTGACCCTCAAGAGGAGGGTTAAACATGGATTTGTTTACTGTCTGTTAGAAAGAATTTGACTGCCGGGTTTGCTAGTAGAACTATACATGCCTGGATGTATGAGGCTACAATGTCACAGTGAAATTTCAAAAGCTAAATTTGGTTAAGAAGGTTTATGCTCCTTAAATCGTATAATTTCTATGGCATTCTGTACTGTCAGTATGTTACATGTAACGTATGCCACTGCCAGTGGCCACTGCCAGTGCATGTGGTGGTGTACTGGTGTAGTTTTGCGTGCGTTAATTGGTTACAGGTGGAAGCTCTCTATTGCAGCCTGTAGGCTTGCGTAGGTAAATGGATGAGTGCTTACCTATTCTGTCTTGCAAATAGTTGTTGCTACTACGTACGATGGAGCTTCCATCTTTAATCTGAAGACACTTAAACGTACGCGCCATCTCGTGCAACTTTCATAACAGATCCCAACAAACATTCCTTTGAGAAGGTTCCTGATACCATCCCTGTGCATTCCACTGTTTCGGCGTGTATGTGAACACATTTGGGACTAACAGGGTTTACTAGAATCCCACCACTCTACCACAGAGTCACCGCAATAGACATTAGATGAGCGCTGTCGCTCGCGCGCACTTGTTAATCCAAGAGGTAATTCGTTGAAATTTATGCTAATTAGATATTCAATACCCCCCTCTCTCTCTCTCTCTCTATATATATATATATATGTGCGTGTGTGTGTGTGTGCGTGTGTGTGTGTGTGTGCGTGTGGCGTGTGCGTGTGTGTGTGTGAAGTACGGGGTTTGGGTGGGTTTTTTGGGGGAAAACAAGCTTCTACATAAATTTGTCTGTAAATAACAACCATCTGCAACAGTTAATGCGGCCTAAAGTTTATACATCAACGTTATGTCACGTATGTATTATTATTGCATGGGAGATGCTTCTACGGTAGTACGTGTGTATATACAGCGGTGTGTTTGTGCATGTGCAGAGTTGGCATCCCTGACCTGGCAGCAAGTGTTAGCCCTACATGAAGAGCTGCAGTGCTGGCTAGACACCACCATTGAGAAGATGGATGACAGCTTACAGACAGCAGACCTGCTTGCTGCAGAGAGGCGACTCAACCGATACAAGGTACAGTCGCTAGTAAAAGAATAATGTGCAAAGCAAAGGGGTGAGTTGGAAATGGGTTGGAAATAGAGTGACATGTGTTTTGGACACTGGCAGTATCTGTAGCACATTTCGTTTTTACATGCATACAAGTGTTTTCTTGGGTGATACTCCATTAGGAGTGTTCCCAACTTTAATGTCATTAATGGTCATAATAACATATATATATATATATGGTCATATATTAGTTTGTGGTTTAATGTCATTTAGGTTAGGGTTAGGGTTATGATTTTCAATCATTAATCATTAATCATTAATGATATCAAAGTTGGGAACACTCCTAATGGAGCGTTAGCCGTTTTCTTGGAGGAATTACTTAATGGTAATAACACTGTGAATAATGAGAATTTTGTTACAAGGTATAATCATATTATATAATTATTCTGTATTGTGGGGTGAATTAATATGGGTTATTCATAATAATTTTCACAACGTTTGGCTTTGATTGGAATTCTCATTGTCGTCACATGGATATAAACTAAATCATCATCATGTCGTTTCAACTAAACATGCATATTATTGATTTCATATGCCAACGAAAATCACTCATAGTAATGTTGCTGTATCCGTGGCTTGTACGCAGAATGAACTGCCTTACAATGAGGAACTGAACAAGAAGCTATTAACCAAGGTGACCTCAGTGGAGAGGTGCAATGACAGCCAGCCGATTGAAGAGATGGTAGTACTCGCTATTGAGCTCGGCACAAAGTTTGGCCTAGCATGCGAACTCGCAACAAAATTGGAGTGGCTGCTGAAGGTTATACCCTTTTCTGATTCTCAGTTACTATTCGTAGCTATTGAGGTGCTAAAAACCATGAAAGTGGAGGCGAGCAAGATAATATAAAGCTACGTGGCCCAATAAAAATTAAAAAATGGCTTCTTACGAAAAAGTGATTCATTCTATGTCAATAGAATATAGAAACTATACACTCGTATATTTGTGATATTTCGAAAAATAATTTTGTTTAATGCAGAAGGTTTAATTAATGTAGCAGAGAATGAATGGTATTTTTGCTCACTTTATGGTCAAGCATTTCTCCTACTCTGGTTGCTTGTATTCCTCTTCTGATGTTGAATTGGCTTGATGGGTATTACAGGAGTCATTAGCTGATCTAGAGACTCTGAAACAGCAGCTGGCTGAGCTTCAAGACTGGCTGGTAGAGGGCACTGCCAAACTGGAGTTGTGTGATCATGCTACTGGATCTGATGATGATATTGTCAAACGTATTCATTCATGCAGGGTATGCACGAATCATTTTAATTTTTGTTTACATTTTGTTATGACATTTTAAAAGTTGATGATGTATAAGCATTATTTATAGTATATCATTTATAAAGTGGATACATATGAATATTAATTACAATGATTATTAAATCAAGTGTTGTAGCAGCAATAAATTTGCAGGAATGGTAAATTTAATATCTAGCTAATGTATATTGAGATTTTGCTGACAGTAACCACTACCTTACCTTACCGTTACCAACAGGAGTTGGTTGCACAGCTGGGCAGCAGGGAGACAGATTTCAGCGAAATCGTGGACTATGCTGAGTCGGCCGCACAGAAGTTCCCGTCGAACGAAGCGACGACATTGTGTCAGGATACAGAGGACACAAAGACCAAGTACGAAGTGACGTGTATGCAGAGCTCCAAGGTACGTTTCGCAGGTTAATGCATCTGACATAGGCACGAGATATCTGGTGTAATAAGCAGCCGTCTAAGATACAGGTAGAGACGTGAAAGACAATAGAGTCACCAGAGGAATACATTTGAAATCGCTGCTGCCACTTGATTCTTTTCTAAGATTTTACATCATCGGTCAATTGTTCAAACTTACCAACAATGGGCCAGCCAACCAGCCGTCCCATCCATCCAGCCGGCCAACCAGCCAACCATCCATCCAGCCAGCCAGCCAACCATCCATCCATCCAGCCAGCCAGCCAACCATTCATCCATCCATCCATCCAGCCTGCCAATCAGCCAGTCAGCCAACCATCCATCCGTCCAGCCTGCTAACCAGCCAGCCTTCCAGCTAGCCAACCTGCTTGACCTCCTGCCCAGTGATTGCTCTGTTGATATAGATATGTTGTAATATGATAAGCACAGTAAGATGTGTTGTGCCTGATCCCACATGTCTCACACGTGTCGTAGGTCGAGGAAATCCTAGTCGGTGTGCTAGAGCAAAGGTATGTTGAAGCAACCTCACAGCTTGATGCCTGGCTGAGCAGCGGCAATGAGAAGGTGGCCTGGTGTGAGGAACCTTCCTCTGACAAGCACACAGTCTCCGCCAAGCTGGCCGCAGTTATGGTAAGTGCTGTTTCTCTTCAATTTTAACGGTTTGTGCAATAACTGTATGTTCCTAAATTACGGTCAACCTACGCGTTATGGTGGATATCACTGTAAGAACGCAGCAAAATATATTTTGCAAATTGCACAAGCATTTTGCAAACAATTCCACAAACATAGTTTAATTCAATGTAGTGCAAATGTTCAGCAGTTACGTGTGATGCTGACATGTCTACAGTGGCACCACACTCCGTCACGGTCCTCCAATCCTGACTTCTCTTGCAGGCCGTGCATAAAACTCTCCCAGAAGGCGCAGCAAGGTTCGACGCCGCGCACCGTGCAGCTGATGCCTACGCGTGCGTCACCGACTGCGCTACAGAGATCACCGAGCAGCAGCGGGAGCGCCAGCAGCAGCTCGACGACTTCAGCAGCCGTGTGCATATGATGTCCGTCGAGCTCGGACTCTCCCTGGACGCGGTCAACAAGCTAGAAGAGCTGACCGACAAGCTATCGACGTGGCTGCGCGCCACCGACCAGCGGGTCAAGGCCGTGGCCGGTCTACAGCCCGATCTGCCTGCCAAGCAGCAGCAAGCAGAACAATTCAAGGTAGGCTCGATGGCGGTACAGGCAATACGCATGTAGTATATATATCGCATGCATCGCAGGCAAACACCGGGATATTATGATACACAGGAGTCTCGTGTCAGTTTGCCACTGACGTTGCAAACCACTGACATACCCGAGCATTGCTTGACAGTTCTGTTTTGGTGCACATTCTGTTTGCTTTATTGCTGTGAGATCTTGTGAGTGACGTTGCGTCGCGTGATTGCTTCATTGCAGAGTGTGTGCAGTGAAGTGACAGCCAAGGCTCCGGCTTTCAAGGAGCACAGTGAGCAAGCCGTGAGCCTAGAGGCACAGCTGCCTGGCTGCAACGCAGAAGCTTATGCCAAGCAGCTGAGAAGCAGATATGAATTACTAGATAGTGCTATTAAGGTGAGTCACACCCCTCCCTGAAATCCTTTATATCCCCCCCCCAAATAATTTCCTTTTTGCCTTAACCCTACCCAACCGGTCAAAGTCATACCAACTGCACACGTTATTTTTACCAGTTTAAAACATGTGCGATATACTATCTAGCTTAAGGTTCACTTATGTTCACACACACACGCACATGGACAAATACACACACAATCACACACACACGTACACGCACATGCACGCTCGCACGCACATGCACATGCACAAATACACACACACATGCACACGCACGCACATGCACATGCACAAATACACACACACATGCACATTTACATGCACATGCGCGCTCGCACGCACGCACGGATGCATACATACGCACGCACGCACGCACGCATGTACACGCACTTGCACACATACACGCAAACACACGAACATGCACACACGCATGCATGCACGCACACACGTGCACACACATGCACACACACACACACATGCACGCACTTGCACACACACACGCATGCACGCACACATGCACGCACACATACATGCACACATACACACACACACACACACACACACACACACACACACACACACATGCGCGCACTTGCACACATACACACACACACACGCATGCACACACACACGCATGCATGCACACACACGCACACACACAGTGTTCACATAAATTCATGTGATTACACGTCTGTTTACAGGAGCATGCCGTGGTCTCCCAGTCGCTGGTTGACGACCACCTCAGCTACATAGAACACAGTAGTGCATTCACACAATGGTTAGACAAAGCAGAACGTAAGCTTCGCGCAAACAGAGACACTTTGGGAGAGAGAAACACGCTAGAGGAGAGACTCGCGCACATTAAAACATTAGTAGTATCCAAGGAGGAAGGTTCGCAGAAATTCAACATGGCCACATCCAGTGGAGAAATGCTCTACCCGAACACAAACCCAGCAGGGCGCAGCACCATCACCGACGAGCTGCAGTCTCTGCGCAGCCGCTGGGAAGCGTTTCTGGCAGGCCTCAGTGAAGCAGAGGTCAGCCTGGAGAGTGTACTCATGCAGTGGTCAGGACTTGCAGAGAATGTTCAACATCTCACTAGCTGGCTGGTTGCATGTGAGGAAGGACTTGGCCACGAGGTGGCGTTGGTGTCCTTCCTGCAGGAGAAGCAGGTTCTGTTGCAGACATACAAGGTAATTAAGCGCATTAATTATCCTTTTACAATACCTTTAATTAATTAATGATTTAAATAAATAATCTACCTTATTGCAGTTGAAATCAGTTAATTGATGGTCACTGCTTATTTTCTATTAACCTCACAACTTCAGTGACATTATTATACAATAAATATGATAAGCTCAGTGCTTACTGTAAAGTATATGTCTTATGTGTACATATATAGTTTGCACACATGTAAATGGGATCAGGCGCATGCATAAGCTAGTTTCATGTATTAATAAATAACTAAATATATATATTTATTTATTATATATATATATATATATATATATATATATATATATACATATATTGGATCAAAAAGGGCTTATGAAAAAAAGGCAGATCTGACAGGTAAATTTGACAGATGTAGTCAACAAAAATCTAGGAAATTCATCATTGTATATACAGTCTAAGATATATGACGGAATATTCGTAACTCAATCCCTCTACACATGGTTGACACCTATGTGGGTTTCCATTGTTACAGTCTGCATGGCAGGACATACAGTCACACAAGACGATCGTCTCCAGCTTAATTGATAGCTCACACAAAATGGCCGATGCGGCAATGGCTGCTGAGGTTGCTGATGTTAGTGCCCGCTACCAAGCCGTGTGTGAGCAATGCCAGAGCTATATCAGCAGCTCCACCCAGTACACTGCCGAGCACCAGTGTTACCAGGACAACGTGCAGGACTGGAGTGATTGGCTTAAAGCAGCGAGTGAGAATCTGACGATGTGCAATGACATCTCAGGAAACAAGCACAGCATTGAGCTGAGGCTAGCTAGGCTGCAGGTACGATCTCAGCTTAATTCTATGATTCTGACTGTACATTAACACACATAACTCATGGTGTCTGTAATATATATGCACATTGTGTAATCTGGTATATAAGTAGTGTGTTGTATTTGTGTATATCTGTGCTCTTATATGTCCTGAAGACCTTATCGGAACTTATCGGATTGATTTATAGAATCTTCAGAATTTCAGTCAAAGTCACATGATTTAAAGAACCGATCATAATATAGAATTCACACCTGGCCACCTTGAAGTGAACTTGAAATTAACTTAAACTTGAACATTGGTCACAGTGACAATTTTATATAAAATAATGAACAATTATTATACACGATTTTAAAATAATAATAGTATGTACATTATGTCGATGTATTTGTATTTAATATTAAAAATACTTAAGAAAGGGATTGATTTTGTAAATGACACTTTTGTTTTCAGGAACTTGAAACGGATAAAGAAGTGGGTAAACATATACTAGATGAGTGTAGAGAGCAGAGTGAGATAGTTGTGCCTCACACGGCCACCAAGGGAGTAGACCACATCAAGAGTGAGCTCTCAGCAATGTCCAGCGACTGGGACTCGTTCAATAGCAATACAGACGAGGTGGGACGTGATCTGGATGGCAGGCTGAGGGAGTGGGAAGAGTTAGCCAGACTTTACTCCACTCTGCTGCAGTGGCTGGCACAGGAGGAGGTCGCCTGGAGGGAGGTCGATCTTGTCTCTACACTACTGGAGAAACAGATTCAGACACAGAAACTAAGGGTAAGTGACAATGACAGGTGAGAAAAGATGATTTGGTTGCATAGTAAACTTCATCGATATCCACTATATGTTTTATATTTAACTATTTTATTACAATTTCTAATTTATATCTATTCCTATTTTGTTGTTTATCCATGTTAAATATTCTGCTCACACCTCTCATGCACTTAAATTATAACGACAATTGTGTGATGTCAGACAATGGAAGAGGATGTTTCGAGCAAATCCGACCAGACAGAGGCACTCGTACAAGTGGCTGCACAGCTTCGTGACCCAGAGGCTGACAGTTGTGCTTCTCAGGTCACCAGCAAGTACCAACAGCTCAGAATGACCATAAAGGTAAGCAAACCTCGTTCACGTTGAGCATACTTAGACACTGCACTTAGACGTCTGCAGTACATTTGGCAGCACAGCACCAATTCCCCAAAATGTTGTGCTTTGGGAAATTTTTTTGGAGATATTTCGATGATAACATCTCACCCATGTGTCTCCCGTGAGAGGTGGAACTAATGTAGAATGTGGATGGTGGTGGTTATAATTTGCAGGAGCTACTCAGCAAATGGGAGAAGATGGCGTTGGATCACCAGCAGTACAGTGATATGTATGACGCCTGTATCACCTCGGTGACCCACCTCACACAGAACTTGGAACCGTTCCACCAGCAACCATCTAATAGGGTCGAGCTAGAACAAATGCAGGCTCAGCTACAGGTAGGTGGCATACCGTATGCCACACGCGTTAATGAATTCGGATTGGATTTCTAATTTTGTTGTTATCAGCCTGTTGTGCGAATACCGTGTGTATTAACTGTCCATTCAATCCGTGCTATTTTCTTTATCTCTTAATAACAGGAAATTGTTGTAAAGAAGGAGCTGGATAATGCCAAGATCCAGCAAACGGTGGAGGCAGGCGAGAAACTTCTGCCAGATACAGCAGCAGAGGGCAGAGATATTATCAAACAGCAGATTAGGTAGGTACTGGGCCTAAGATAACATATTGCTTGTTTCCCCTTTACCGACCGACTCGCCAAAACGCCGCTACTCGACACATTTTATTGGCCGATTTAAACAAAGCAAAAATTATTTCGTTTCGCCAAAAAAAAAAAAAATCAAATTCGTCCCGCAAAAACATATACACAAAACAGAATATACAATATACATACACACATCTTGTCAAAACAAAATAAAAAAGATTTTTCACCTACCTCCTACTCGGTACCCTGAGAGGTGAGTGTAAAGGGGAAACAAACAATGGGTTAGCCGCTAGCTTTGTCAGCAGGTGGCGCAGCGGGAGTTAGAGGTGTTACAACGATTGCGCAATCAACCGGTCAGTTGGAAAGATACAGGAATCACGAATAGCCGATCGTATCGTCATAGCGATATAACCAAGTTAAAATGCCTTCGTAAAGTCTGCAGCGATCACTTTGGAGAGGCTGACTATACTAGCACACTTTCAAGGAAGTGTAATATCGAAAATAGCTTATAAACATTAGTTATTAGCTCATTTTGACTTTGAGGTTCGCAGTAGTTTTCTGCGTATCCATGCCAGTCATAGATTATAAAAAACAACTGTTAGTGTTATCATTGACAGCATTTATCGCTACAGAGCAGTATAATTATAACACGACAATGCCAGTGGCAACGTTCAGCTGGTAATTGGTAAATAATCGAGGCCAGGTGTCTCTAGTACGAGGTACCAGTATCTGGTACCAGGTACTTGGCTATATTTCGTATGCACCACTAGTATCACCGTGAATCTCAATAAACATATTACATAACTCCTCAGCACACACAAAAGAATAAACACCCACTTCACATATGGACGCATGCACACACGTACGCATGCACGCACGCACGCACGCACGCACGCACGCACGCAACACGCTTTTACGTGCGCACATGTGCGCTGCCACACGCACGCACGCACGCACCCATACACGTGGACGTGCACACGCACGCACGCACGCACGCACGCATGCACACACGTGTACCTGCACACGCACGCATGCACGTACATGTATGACCACACGCACACGCACGCACACACGTGCACGTACACGCACGCATGCACGCATGTGTACGTACACACGCACGCACGCACGCACATACGTGTACGTGCAAACGCACGCACGCATGCACGCATGTGTACGTGCACACGCACGCCCGCACGTACATACGCACGCATGCACGCACCTGTACGTGCATACGCACGCACGCAAGCACACACGTACGCATGCACGCACGGGTACGTACACACGCACCCACGCACGCATGCACGCACGAGTACGTGCACACGCACGCACGCACGCACGCACGCACGCACATGTACGTGCACACGCACGCACACACGTGTACCTGCACACGCACGCATGCACGTACATGTATGACCACACGCACACGCACGCACACACGTGCACGTTTACACGCACGCATGCACGCATGTGTACGTACACACGCACGCACGCACATACGTGTACGTGCAAACGCACGCACGCATGCACGCACGCACGTACATACGCACGCATGCACGCACGCACGCACGCACTTGTACGTGCACACGCACGCACGCACGCACACACGTGGACGTGCACACCACGCACGCATAATATATTGTCAGCGCGGAATATAGGTGGTGTACGACAGTAGGGGCTCTTCTGCAGGTCATACATGTACCTACATACATACATGAATCTCAATAAACATATTACATAACTCCTCAGCACACACAAAAGAATAAACACCCGCTTCCCCCACTCTATCCGGGTGTGCATTATGGGTACGCGGATAATCTTCACCTCTGCAGATGTGGCTGCCCTCAGCGCGCAACTGTTTCTAGCGGCTAACCCCATTTTTTAAGGGAGGCCTTGTCTATACTCTGCTGTGAACAACGTACATTCGAACGTACATATGAATGATGAGAGTGATTTTTAGTGATACAATTTTATGAACCAATATTTTAAGTGATATCTATGTCTTACCATGGAACATATATTATTGTAAATATCACCAATTTCAGTTTTTTACTGCCTGATGATATCGTGTTTGCAAAACTTATATTAATTGTAACGTTGTAAATACTATTTTTGCAATAAACCTATTATCTATCTATCTATCTATTTATCTATCTATCTATCTATCTATCTATCAATCTATTTATGAGAGGTATACAGAAGAAGTTGATTCATATGTCTTATTTTTAAATCTTGTATCTGTACTGCTGTTGCAGGTCTCTGCGTGCACAGTGGGAGAAGATCGCTGTGAGCCTGCAAGAAGCTGGATCCAGTCTTTCCGCTTCCAGCCAACAATGGAGCTCATTTTCCACAAATGTAGATCAGTTCAGACGCACCCTACAGTCAGTGCAGGACAATCTGACTCTGCAGCTGCGTCCCACCCTAGAGGAAAAGCGCACACAGCTTCAGACTCACATGGTACGTAGTGAAGGGGATTTTCAGTGTAAACATATATACCTTCACTATAGTCATTCTAAGTACCAGGGGCCGGTTTCACGAAGCGTAATTAAGTCCTTAATCATGATTAACTTCCCGTACTTAAATTTAAGTGACTGTTTCACGAAGCGTAATTAACTTCATTAATTGGTATTTAGTCATTCTAAGTACCAGAGTAGCAAGCGTGGCACACTAAAGTAGTGTTAATAAAGACTACCAAAGTCAGTCTTGTAACATCATGAATGAATGTCATTAAAGTTTTGTTTGCTCTTTATTGAATAAAACAAAATCACGTCGATGCATGAGCAGCATTAATTGCGTGTTTGTTTTTTGTGGCCATTGTTCATAAAATTCCATATTCTATTTGCAGACGTTTCATCATGAACTGCTGGCAGAGCAGCACATGCTTGATAGTCTAAACAAGAGAGCAGCTGAAATGAAGCAGACGGAGGCTGTCGATGAAGTTGCAGCAAAGTACACTGCCCTCTGCCAGGAGTCTGAGGTACTACCTTTCTCTCCATCGCAATTATAATAATGACACCACATGGACCATGGAGTTTCATTATCCATGCAAGGCTGACATCAGGCATGTAAGGTGCTCTAATAGAGACAAGCATCTGTGCCTTGGCCCAATGATTGCATTTTACTTATGTTCGTTTATTTGTACTTTTACAGGAGCTACGCAGCAAATATGCACGGTTTGTACAGGACCATGAGGCTTTCAACGAGTGTACGCATAACTGCCAGCGCAATCTGCACGAGGTAGCAAACGTTCTGACCGCCTACTCAGGAGTATCCGGTGACGTACACACCCTGCAAACACGACTTGATAAACTGAAGGTTAGTCAGTTATGCAGTTGCTAAATAAATAATAAATAAGGAAGCCAATAGCTCAACATAGTAGAAGGCTGAACATGAATGTTGACTTTTGTAAAAAAGTTTAAGTATCTCAGGCTTAAAGGTAATTGTTAATGCTTATTTATCTGCAGGAACAGTCTAGTCAGATCACGGACCTTAAGCAGTCTGCAAAGAAAGTTTCGGAGATGCAGGATTCTGTCCTCCAGGGGACAGCACCTGCTGGGTGGGAGTCTTTACAGGCTGAGGCAAGACATGCTGACAAACAGTGCAATGAGTATGAAGCAGAGCTGAACGAGTCTATCAACAAATTAAATGGTAAGTAAAAGTAGATTGGGGCTTATCTGGTTATCTTCTGTTTTAATATAAGTATTACTTGTTCTTGTATTATCGCATGATCATAATGATAATGTGCAATAATAAACACCATTAAACTAATCTGAATAGCAACTACTTGCAAGATATAGTGTGAAGGCCTCTGATTAATTTACCAATATTTGAAGGTGGAATAGTGTAGGCGATTCTCAGGAAACGTTTATGGTTTCAGTTTTGATATCACTGTGGCAAACATACAATGCAGAGAATGATCGCTTGAACAATAGTCTGGAGGACTGTGTAAGTCAGTGCAGTGCTGTACAGCTGCAGCCTAGCATGGACACCAAGCAGCACGCCCTCTCCACCCTACAGGTAAGTACCACTTGATGGCACAGGAGTTGAAAATGCTAGCAGAAATCTCTATTAATGTTGAATTCACGTTTTCTCGGCAGATATGTTAATTCCAAGATGATTTGGTGCCGAGATATATTTGGCAGCTATTTTTTGCTATTCCCCATGGTCAGTACTGATGGTTCACCGAGTCTTATCATGTATTCCCAGGCTCTGGAAACTAATGCAAAAGACATCAAGACGGCAATTGGACACCTGCAGGAAAAGTCGCTAGACCTCGTCTTGACTGGTGCTGATGCGCACATCACTGAGACCACTACCCAGCTAGTGACAAAGCAAGAGTCAGTGTCGGCCATGGTCTCCGAACTCGTCAACAACTGGAACAAGTATGTTGTTATGAGTCAGTGTAAATTGTTCGGCAGTGTCTGACTAAAGACGGTAAACTGACTGTTCTTTTGGTGTCAGATAAAGGTGATTAGATCATCGGTTACGTGTTAGGAGCATACTAGCAGTGCCCCATCGTTTGTTTTCAGGTATGTGGCAGCCCATCGCAATTACGAGGAGATGTTTGCCTTGCTTGAACAGTGGGTCAGTGTTGCAGAGGTGACACTAGACTCTTGTCAGCCAGATACTACCGACACCGAGACACTGGTCCAGGAGAAACTAGCCAAGTGCCAGGTATTTTTTTGCAATGAGAGGGACCTTGACCTTAGTCCGTTATGCACAAGATGTCAGGTCATTGCTATAGCCATGGATATATGAAATTGGGGAAATGTGAATGAGCCATAATTGATATTCCTTTTGTAATTACTAACTCTGTGATTTCTATTTGACAGACTATTATGAATGAGAAGATGGAGAAAGAACCTACAATGGCTTCTCTCCTGGTGGAGGGAGAAGCACTGTTTGCATCAACAAGCCCTCAAGGCAGAGAGACGGTCAATCATCAGATGAACACGCTCAGACAGAGGTCAGTGTCACACATGATGCTACCTCACTCACTCACATGATGCTGCCTCACTCACTCACATGATGCTGCCTCACTCACTCACATGATGCTGCCTCACTCACTCACATGATGCTGCCTCACTCACTCACATGATGCTGCCTCACTCACTCACATGATGCTGCCTCACTCACATGATGCTGCCTCACTCACATGATGCTGCCTCACTCACTCACATGATGCTGCCTCACTCACATGATGCTGCCTCACTCACATGATGCTGCCTCACTCACTCACATGATGCTGCCTCACTCACTCACATGATGCTGCCTCACTCACATGATGCTGCCTCACTCACTCACATGATGCTGCCTCACTCACTCACATGATGCTGCCTCACTCACTCACATGATGCTGCCTCACTCACTCACATGATGCTGCTTCACTCACACACATGATGCTGCTTCAC